AACAAGGGGGCCCAGTTAACGATGAAGACGCCCCCTTGGGAAGGCGTGCAGGTTGTGAATAGCATGAAGAAGTGTGTGGCCAGGGGCACAGCTAAAGGAACGGGGAGGGCGAGGGTGTTGAGACCACGGAACGCCCTCCGTGGCCACAGCTGACGAGGGCCCTTCAGGTGCCAGCGTGCTTGGACCCGGGAGAGGCGCTGTGGAGGTCAGTGTTTATCGGCCGTGTGGCGTTCATGTTGACAACCAGAGAAAATGGGGACCCTCCCGTTCCACAGGCTGCGGAGCATGGCTGCCCTGGGAAGACCCGAGGGAAACAGACGGGAGAGGGTGATGAGGGGCCCTGGCTTCCCCCAGGTGTCACCGTTTCGAAGAGGCTGTATCTCCACATCGCTTAATCCTTAACAATTAATTTCAGCCCTGGCTGGTGTGGCTCAGTGGATAGATCGTCAGCTTGTGCACTAAGGGTCCCGGGTTCGATTCCTGTCAAGGGCACACGCCTGGGTTGCGAACTCTGTCCCCAGTAGGGAGCGTGCAGGAGGCGGTGATTCTCTCTCATCATTGATGTTTCTATCTCTCTCTCCCTCTCCCTTCCTCTCTGACATCACTAAAAATATATTTTTAAAAAATTAAAAAAAAAGATCAGGTTTAAAAAAAATAATAATTTCATTACAAGAAGGAGAACAAAGACAGGAGTTTGGAGACCAGCGATTCTGGGTTCGAACCCTGGCTGTGCCACTTGGGTTCTTTACTTTGGGTGCGTTGTGTCCCTATTCAGGCTCCTATTGGGGGTGGGGTGGGGGTGCACACCTCTAGCTGGCAGAGGTGCCCAGAGGAGGAGAGTACGCTCCCTCCACCGCTGCCCTGAGGAGGGCAGACAGAGTGTCTGGGTGCAGCCAGGGCGCCTGCATGTAAATGCCAGCTGAAAGCGGAGGGCAGGTTGATCTGGGAGTGCCTATCCCTCTGGGGCCCCATTTCCTGCCAGGCCCTGCGGGCCAGGAGCGTTGGCAGAACCCCAGGCAGTGAGGACGCCGTCCAGCCAGGCCAGTCCTGGCTCCCACAGGGGCATCTCGGGGCGTGAGAAGCATGTTGTGCTGTGTGACCCCAAGCGGGAGGTCTGGGAGGTGGCACCAACATTTGCAGGGACCTCCGAAACAATGAATTATGGGCCCCACAGGGCTGCTGGTGGGACCCGGGCCTCCTCCCAGTCGCCCTGCGGCTGTTGGTGGCTGGGGAAGGTTCCTGAATGGACTGGCATTGCTGAAAAGACTGGCATTCTGATGGGACTTGGGGATTCTGGCGGGAGATGTGTGTCCTCGCTGTCATTCCTGCGTGGGTGACTGGAAGGAACTCCCTCACAAGGACAATGAAGGTGGAAGCCTTCCTCCCCGGGACCAGATGGGGGCCCTAAGTGAGGGTGAGCTGCGGCTCTGGAGCCGAGAGGGGGTTCCAAATGGATCCCGCCCATCCGGGCTACTGGGCACCCCCGCCACCCACCCACCATGCTTCTACCCTGAGCTTAAACTCAGACCGGCTCCCTGTGGGCCCGGAGCACCTGCCGTTAGAAGCCCATGGCTGCTGTGGCCCGCGCCCTCACCCTCCATCCTCCCTCCACACGCTGCTCCTGGCTTCCGCCCTCCGACCTCCGTGGCTCCCCCCCTGCCCCTGTGCCCGGCCTCCCTGACGCCCTGGCAGTGTTCGGGTTCTAGCCCGCTGTCTGGGGGCAGGGAGGTCAGTTCCCTGCACATGGGAGGAGCCTGCTTTCGGGGCTGCGGCTCCCTGTGGTGACCCCTCTCCGGTCCTGCCCCGCCCCTCCCCGCCCTGTCCCCGTAGCCTACTTGGCAGCGATGGTCTGCCTCTCTCCCACTTCCCACCGGTGCCATCCTCAACGGCTGGGACGGGACGCTGGAAATTGTGGTCCCTGGCTTCCCGTCGTGGCTGGGAGCCCGAGAAGTGCTCCCGGATTCATTGCACCCAGGGTTCCACTCAGGGCACGCCGAGCTGCTTAGCACCAGCTATTGGCTCCATCAATCTGCCGCCTCCCTTCCCCAGGCCTGACCCCCACGGCGCCTCTTCCCGCCGGAAACACATTAGAACTCGGGGAGACCAGCTCCTGTAAGCTTTTCCTGTGGTGCACACAGTCCCCCCCCCCACACACACACCCCTCCCCTCCACTCCCTGCCTCCTGTGCAAGTCCATTGCCATGTGTCTTTAGCGTCCCTGCCACCCAGGGGACCCTGCGCGCCGCAGACGGTGTGGCTGTCAAACGGTGACCTTGACTCTGGCCAGCTCCCGCCCTGCATTTTCCAGGCCCATCACTCTGCCTTGGGGAGGCGGTCCTTGCACAGAATCCATGCGTTTTCCTTGACCTGGTTTCTTCCCTGCACCTCCCCACCTGCTCTGACTGCAGGCCTCTCTGACGGACAGGTTTTCCCCTTCGAAGCTGCCTCTCTCCTGCTTAACAAAGGCCCCACCGAAGCCGACACCTTCCGAGATGGCCCCTCCCGCAGACACGGAGCACCGCCCGCTCCTGGCTCACCCGCGAGCAGCACGGAGGCCAGAGTCTTCCCGCCAGCCCGTCTCCCCTTTCTGATGGGGCATTTGCAGATGAAGCCTGGTTTCCTGAGAACTCCTCCACTTTGTAGGGTGACTTCCAAGTTACCCTTCACTTCTGCATCTGATCATCACTCCTTCTCTGAACCCAGAGGCACCGAAGACAAGCCTGGGAGTATCTCCTCGCCAGGGAGTTAAGAAATAAAAGTGCAAGGCAGCATCCATTTCAACGGCTCTATTGGAACACGGGGGGGGGGGGGGCACAGTGTGGGTTTGGGGGCCGCCACAGATGTTCCTCCTCCAGGCAGCCTGCGCCCCACTCCCGCAGCCTGCACCCCACTTCCGAGGGGCCCCCAGAAGGGCGGGGCAGCTGTGGTGGCAGGTGGTGTGTGGACGCCTTGCCCTCGGCCTGACCAGCTGTCTCTGTGACGAGCCAGACCAGCCTTATGCCTCCAGCTACCTGGCCATGACGTAGAGCCCCCCTGCCTTAGACTCGGGGGAGACTCCCGAGGAGGGGTTCTGGGGCTCCCAGCAGGAATCCGGCTAAGAGACAGGATGACTGCGGCCATCGGGGAAAACCAGGCCTCCTCGTGAGCCGGCGGGCGGATAAGCTGCTTAAAGCTCCCACTGTGTGCCCAGCAGTCTTCCAGGGTCTAGGCTTCCAGTGGCCAACAGACACAGGCAGCCCTGTGCGGGCTCAGTGGCCATGAACCAGGAGGTCACGGTTTGATTCCCATTCAGGGCACATGGTCAGGCTGTGGGCTCCATCCCCAACAGGGGGCGTGCAGGAGGCCGCTGGTCAATGATGGTCTCTCATCATGGATGTTTCTGTCTCTCTCTCCCTCTCCCTTCCTCCCTGACATCAATGAAAACATTAAAACAACAACAACAACAAAACAGACACGGGCAGAACCCGTGACCGCCTGAGCGCGCAGGGCCAGGAAACCACAGACAGCCACGTATCGCCACACGCCAGTGGCCTCCCAGGACAGTGCCGGGGTGGCGTCAGCCTGGCTGTAGGGAGGGTCGGGAGACTTCCTCCAGAAGCGCCTTCAGCTGAGGGTGTGGCCGGAAGGTCAGGAAGAGCATTTCAGTGGAAACAGCTGTGCGTGGACCGAAAGGTGGGCCATGCGATAGACCAGTGGTCGGCAAACTCATTAGTCAGCAGAGCGGCAAACCGCGGCTCGAGAGCCGTGGTTTGCCAACCACTGTGGTAGACAGTTGCATTTGCGCTTGTGACTGTGGGTGGGACGTGGGCTGGAGGGAGGGCGTGGGGAATGCCGAGGGCGGTCCAGAGCCATCCCACGGTCCTGACGCGGGGGATGGAGCGATGACAGGGCAGGGGCAGAGAATGATAGGACTGAGTCTCGGACTTCCAAGTCTGAGAAGGGGAACCCTGGGAGAGGAGCAGGTGCTGGGAGAAAGGTCAAGGGTAGTCTGGACACGCTCAGGGTGAGGTGCCTTCAAACAGCCAGGTGAGGCGCTGTGGAGGCAGCAGTGGGAATGCTCCCAAGAAGCCTGGGATCCAGATCCAGATCTGCTCAGGGATGAGTCTGTAGACGAGGCCACAGAAGCAGAGAAGTCTCCGTGAGAGGAGGAGGCTGGGGAGCAGCCACACTGAGGGCTGGGAGAGGACAGGGGGCTTCAGGGGGGACTGAAAGGCATGGTGAGCAGGGAGGGGACACCAGGACGAGGTCTGGGAACGAGGGGGAGAGTGAGCTCAGGGGGCCAGTGGTCAGCGAGGAGAGTCCATGGACACCCCTCCCCCCCTCCCTGCAGCTGTCAGCACCCTAGACACAGGACAGGGCGCTTTCCTCCTGGGACAGAGGAGCAGAGATGCTCGGAGGGGTCCCCTGACTTGGCCAAGGTCATGCATCCCAGCAGAGGGTGCTGTGGGGTCAACTCCTCTACTCATGTCTATCGCATCCCCTCAACTTCTTCCCCGCCCTCCCTGATGCCCACACCCTTCCCCTGCAAGGCTACTCATGCTGCAGCATGGGGGACCCAGACTCTGGTTCGAGCCTCCCGGCAGGCTCAGTCAAGGAAACATCTTGATCTCTCTCCCAAGAGGCAGTGTGGTGTAGTGACTAGAGAGTGTGGGCGTGAGGCCTGGCTTTTCACCATCCTCCCGTTCATTTCTTCATTCGTTCGTTCGTTCGTTCGTTCCTTCCTTCCTTCCTTCATTCATTCATTCCATCGGCAGCTGTTTTACCAGTGCCTCCTAAGAGCCAGGTGCACATTCTAGCTATGTGGCCTTGGGTAGGCCTCGAGCTTCTGAGCCTCAGTTTCCACCTCTGTAGAGCAGGGACAGTGATCCTTGACCCAGGTGGTAAGGATTATGGGAGTTCATGCAGGTGAAGTACCTCCCACACAGTAGGTGTCATTGAAGACGAATTTCCTCCTTTCCCCATCCTTCCCTTCCCTCCCTTTCTCCTGCAGCACCCACAGGGAACCAGAGGCTAGCACTTTATGGCAACACCCTCTGCTGTGCCCAGAGGGCACGTTCACAGCGTGCACACATGTGCACACATCCCACATGCCCCCCCCCCCCCAATCTCTGCTCAGGACCCGGGCCAGCACCGCTGTGGACTTGGGCTCCGAGAAGTCCCAGACACATCTCCTCTCTGGGAACGCTGAGTACAGACAGGGCCTGTGGCCCCGGGCGCCCAGGGTGAGCTCAGGGAGTCGCTGAGGGGTCCAAGAGTCCCATCGTGGTGACCGGGAGCAGTATCTTCGGTGTCCTGGGGCCGGGTCTAGGCGGCCTGGGAGGGCGGTGTCCTCGGCGGCTGCTCCCAGGGGGCTCCCCCACATCTCTGGAGGAACCGGCGTCCCCACAGACTCTTGCAGCAGCTCAGGAGGTTGCTGGAGCTCACGGCGCAGGACAGCGCAGGCTCCCTGAGGAGACACAAGCACAGGGCAGGGCTGCAGTGACCACTGAGCAAGACATTGGCTTCTTCTAGGCCAGGCCCAAGAAGGATGGGGGGGAAGGGGGCCAGACCTCCATGTACAAGGTAACTTCCTCCCTCAGCCCACAGGGGGAGCACGCTAGACACCTGCTCTCAGATCCCAAATCTGCTTCTAACCCTGTTTCCCCGAAAATAAGACAGTGTCTTATATTAATTTTTTCTCCCAAAGTTGTGCTAGGTCTTATTTTCAGGGGATGTCTTATCTTTCCATGCACTAGGTCTTATTTTCGGAGGATGTCTTATTTTCGGGGAAACACGGTAACATGTCGTGTGCCTTTGGTCAAGTGACTTAAGCCCTTATGTATATGAGGTATATGAGGTTAACTACCTTTATATATAACACTAGAGGCCTGGTCGAGATTCTGTGCACAGTTAGGGTCCTTAGGCCTGGCCAAGATCAGGGCTGATTGGGGCCTTCCAGCTGCCGGCGGGACCTTCCTTGCCCGGCTGCTGGCTGCTGGCTGAGGCCTTCCTTCATTCTACTCCGCCCCCTGGTGGTCAGCACACATCACAGCGAGCGATTGAACTCCCGGTCTCCCAAGGGGACATTTTGCACATTAGCCTTTTATATACACGGAGTGGCCAGATTATTATGATCTCTGAATGCATGATAACCTGGCCACTTGGTTTATATATATTAGAGGCCCAGTGCATGAATTCGTGCATGGGTGGGGTCCGGCCAGCCTGGCCAGGGAGAGGGCACATGGGCAGTTGGCCAGCCTGCCTGCTGGTCGAACTCCTGGTCGAGGGGACAACTTGCATATTAGCCTTTTATTATATGGGATATACACTGAGTGGCCAGATGATTATGCGTTCAGAGATCATCATCATCTGGCCCCTCAGTGTATATAGATATATGCCTTTACATATGTCCTTTATACCTTTCTAATTATTGAAAGGATTAAGTGTCCTAAAGTCTGGCTCAGAGTAGGAGCCCAGCTGATGTTCAGTATTTCTGAATCTTCAGGGAAAGATTCCTGAACAACCACAGCATGCTTCACATGAGCTGGAGGAAGGTGGGGAGAATGTGGCCCCGAGATTTAGCCAGCCTTGCATCCAAGTCAGTTGTGAGCGACTCTCTCTCCATTAGGATGTCTGCTCTCTGGAGGCCAGAGGCTTGCCCTCCAAACCCTGCAATGTGGTTGGCGCTCAGTAGGTCCTCAGCTAATGCCAATCTGACAGAAGCTGAGGCCACTGAAGATGCGTGAGCCCAATGCTTGGCAGGACAGTTGCCCCCCCCCCCCACACAAACTATTTGACATACATTTTGGGTTTCGGCCCCTCACACCTGCCTCTGCCTTTGTGACAGAGAGCACGGCCTAGGCTGGGAGCTTTGCTCCGGCAGTTGGATCTGGCCAAACTGATGACAGTCTTGAGTTATTGCATCGTTTTCCACACACGACACTGCATTCCCATTTATGGTGAGGATATAAAGGTTTCTTATAAATGTCTTTCAGCGAAAACAGAGAGCTGGTGCAGACATCTAAGTGGGTATAATGCAGGTGGGGGAGGACAATGAGCTGGACCGAGAGAGGATTTGCGAACGACGGTTGTTTGGAGAGCCCTGTCACAGTGCCCGGCCACGCCAGCCGGCCCCTGGCTCAGACAGAAGCTGAGCTAGACGTGGGGTCCCTGGGGATTCTTTTGGGCAGATCTGCAGCTCCAGAGCAGGGCAGGGCCTGGTTCAGCTCTGAGGCATAAACTCTGCCTCATTTCTCACTTCCCTGCCTAGGCTGGAGTGGTAGCTTTCCTTGTCCACTGTCAGTCAAAGGAGCCGTCTCTCCCCTGGTCCTGGACCAATCTCGGGTCCTAGGGATGCCCCATGAAGCTCATTCTGCCTCCGCTTCAGCCATTTTCTGTGAGGCTCACGGTTCCTTCTCCCTCCCGCAGGGAGAGAGGGAGAACTTCCCCTCCGGGTCCCTCAGGTGGGAGCTGTGGATGTGAATGCCTGACTTTGCAAGGCTTTGTGAACAAGGACACAGCCACGGCCACAGCCAACACCCATGCGTCCTTCAAATGCTGGAGGCCCAGCTCTCCTCCCCCAGCACACCCAGACTCCCTGCACCTCAAGGTCATACCTCTGGCCCAGAGGCATTGTACAGTGTATATATTTGATCACGCGGGCTGGTAGGTATCTACCTTGGGGCAATATTCCAGATCTAGCCTGTGGCTCTGATAAAGTGACTTTCACTGAAATGAACAAAATCATCAAAGAAAGGCTAGCTCTAAGCTAGGAAATAAATACCTTCCTTCTCCTAAAGGGCTGAATAAAAATCACTTAAAATGAGATTACTATGGAAATATCTCATGTTCATGATAAAATACAGAGCATAGCAGTTAACAAAACAAAATAAACATCTCAACTCCTCTACTCAGACATACTTTTTGCTACATGTCAATTTCACCATTAAATATTTTAAAATGAAATCAACTCATATATCCAGAGACTATAAAAACACATACACACGGTTTAGAGAAAATGAAAGAATGTTAAATGGATGCAGGAGTAACCACCTCTCCGGTTGAGAAACACAACTTGACTAGCCTTCGACTTGTTCCAGAAAACATTTATGTTTCTCTAAACAATATATGGCGTGGTTCTGGCTGCCTTTTACTTTTACAGACATGCTATCATGTTTCATGACTTCTTCTGTAGCTACCGTGGTGGTGGTGGTTGCTTACTGTCAGATTTATGAGATTAGATTGTGTCACGTGTGAATGTATGGTTCATCTTCACTGTTGTGAAGGACCCCATTATGTGGATACTAGAGACCTGGTGCACGAATTTGTGCATGGGGATGCATTGACTACCAGGGGGAAGCTCCTGCATTGAGCATCTGTCCCCTGGTCAATCAGTCAATCAGAGGTGGTTACTCCTGCATCCACTTAACATTCTTTCATTTTCTCTAAACCGTGTGTATGTGTTTTTATAGTCTCTGGATATATGAGTCGATTTCATTTTAAAATATTTAATGGTGAAATTGACATGTAGCAAAAAGTATGTCTGAGTAGTAATCTCATAGTAATCTCATTTTAAGTGATTTTTATTCAGCCCTTTAGGAGAAGGAAGGTATTTATTTCCTAGCTTGGGACTGGAATGAGCTGCTCCTTGAGGGTGGGGTTCCTCGGCCTGGTTGGTGATTAGAGCAGAGTGGGGCTCTCTCATCCAGTTCAGCCGGCCCAATCAGGGCTGATAGGAGCCAGCTGGTGTGGGGAGGGACCATGGGGTTGGCTGTGGGGATGCATTGACCACCAGGGGGAAGCTCCTGCATTGAGCATCTATCCCCTGGTCAATCAGTCGGTCGGTCAGTTGACCAGTTATAACAGTCACTTAGGCTTTTATATATATAGATACTCCAGTTTATCCACCCCCTGTTGAGGGATATTGGAGTTGTCTTTTTTTTTTTTTTTTTACCATTTCCCTTCTCATGCTTGCTTTTGAATCTACACCAGAGTGTCCTCATCACATAAGTGGCCAACCTTTCCTTTTTCTCTCCTCTGATAGCGTTTGTCAGGACTGGAATGAGCTGCTCCTTGAGGGTTGGGTGGAACTGCTTTGTAAAGCCAAGTGCTGCTGGCATTCCATTCATTTCATTTCTTTCTAATGCTGAGAGGACCAATCAGCTTTTCTGCTTCTTCTCAAGTCAGGTTTGGCAAGCCCTCTTTTGCTAGGAATTTGTTCATAGTATCTGAGTGTTCTCTTGTTTGGAAATAAAATCGATCTTACCATTCTTAATCTCTATAACATCCTAAATAATATTGCCGTTTCGTTCTTAATATTGTGTATTTGTGGCATTGATGGTTAACTTCTCTGTGTAGTTCTATCAATTTTACTTTACATAGTTTTGAAGCCAGTTTATTTGGTACATGTAAGTTATCTTTCTGGTGAATTGAATCTCTTTGAAAATAGGATGACAATCTTAATTTTGAGGGATATTTTTTGCTTTCTGTTCATCTTGTCTGATATGAATCTAGCTACAAGGAGTTCTTTTGGCTAGTATTTGCCTAGTTTATCTTATTTTTCCTTCCTTGTACTTTCAACATTTTTATCTCCTCATGTATCGCTTGTGTAAAAAATATTAGATTGGATATAAAAAATCAAGTCTGACCCTCATATTTCCCCCCTATTGGTCAGCTTGTTCCATTTACAGGTACTGTGATTACTAATCTATCCTGATAGATTTCTCCAATGTGATTTTGAGTTTTATATTTGCCCCACCTTTTCTCAAATTTCCCATTATTTTTCCTTGCTTTGTCTTAAGTTGCCTTCCCCCCCCCCCATTCTTTTTCCTCCTTACCATATGGAATTTTACCTTGTTATGAAATTTTTGTAACACACATATCTTACCTAATAAAAGAGAAACATGCATCACTTTGCTATGCCGCAACCAATCAGAGTGAGTATGCAAATTAACCCAACCAAGATGGAGGTTAATTTGCATATGCAGACACAGAGCTGAGTGAAACCTGCTTTGAAGGGAAGGGGTGCAGCGGAGGGAGCTACTGGAGTGATGCTCCAGACAAAAAAACACGAGTTACCAACATTAAGAATAAAGAGGTGGCCTGGGAGTGGGGACATACCGGCTCCTGGGCAGCTGCAAGTGAAGCCAGGGGCCTATTCTTGCATGACTATTGTGCAATGGGCCTCTAGTTTAACTTTATTTGACTTAAGTCCAGTGGCATGGAGCCCCTCCTCCTCTGCTTAGCTTGCCATCCATGCCAAGTGAGAGCTGGGATGAGACCTGCGCTGGCTCCCCACCTTCTACACTTCTAGAGATGCGGGTAGGTTTAAGATGGCTGGGCCCCTTCATGGCCCATCTTTGCCCTGAGCCCTGACACTTGAAGCTAAGGGATTCTAGTGGGATTCTAGAAGAGCACAGAATACAGCGTCTGCCACCCCACATGTGCCTGTGGGAAACACCTATCACT